AGAGAGAGAGAGAGAGAGAGAGAGAGAGAGAGAGAGAGAGAGAGAGAGAGAGAGAGAGAGAGAGGTGGACCCGCCGTCGGGCCGGACGCTGGGATTGTCATTTCTCTTTCGTCATAAGGCGAACAGAAAACCCACCAATCACGTTGTCAGACCTTCCTACGAAGGAAGTAGGAAACCAACACCTGCAGTCATCCGATTCCACGGTGGGCGATGCGCGACCCCATAGTTTCCGCTACGAGCACTGCAGTGTCCATATGATTATGAGTCGGCACTCATGGCGGTCATCCATGCTCCACTTTCCACAAAACGCCTGTGACTAGACAAAGACGAGAACACCTAGATTCAAAGTTGGAAGGTGGCATGACTGATTGCGAAATTCAAATGCTCATGCTCGTTTACTCGCTCACAAACATTTGGCCGACGTGCACCACCATGCACAGACCACCGCATTTGACGGCCATGCACACACTGCCGCCTCACACCGCCACATCCGAGCTGCCGCCATCATAGCATGTCAGCAACAACAAAAAAACTGTTCCACAGAAATTCACCATAAAACACACCAACGTTGGTGTACGTCAACAGAAATTTTGAAAACCCTTGGACGTTCCATACCAATCACCGTTGGACGGCATGAACACACCATTCACTCTGCCACCGACAACCCTGCGGAGGCTATCATCGCTATTGACGATGCCGTTGGAGGTCGACCTGACGATCTATTACAATAATCTTATGGTCACCGCCGAAGAGGTGTGAGGCAATAGCAGGAATTCTGAATACTCATACCCGTTGCCTGCTGAAGTCAGCCTCTCGAAGAGGTTGTCCCTGCCCACGGATACAGATTCGAATACTCCTACTCCAGTTCAACACAGTCATAACGCATCGCAATGCACTCGCCATTGCCACCGCCGACGTCAACCCTGCCACCACAATCATCCCTTACTACGTCCAACGATGCTGAATCACCACGGAATGCCAGAAGGACGCTGGCACTCCACCAGCGACATCCATTCTGCGCGTGCGTGTGCGCGCGCGCTGTCTCTTATACACATCTAGATGTGTATAAGAGACAGGAACAAGTCAGCTATGGTTGACGTTGGTTAGGATGGCATTGTCTCTGAGATGTAATGTCCTGGTACAGGGAGGGCTAGGAGTTGTTCCAGGATTANGAGAGAGAGAGAGAGAGAGAGAGAGAGAGAGAGAGAGAGAGAGACAGAGAGAGAGAGAGAGAGAGAGTCGAAGTGAACCATTTATCTTTCATGTGGACAACAATGGACGTAGTAGGGGCCACATACATCCCCTTCCAGGTGTCACCTGGGGCCAGATGCATTACGATGCATAGTCTCCAGGAGCCAAGCCCCGCTTATCCCCGTGCTTCATATCTGACCGTTGGATCTATGCAATCTATGCTCAGAAATTAAGGATACAGACAGGTGGGACTTGACCCAAGGTGCAGCCAACTCTGGCTGCACCTTGGGCCACGACCCACCTCCCCCGGTGGGAGACCCCACCTTTCTCCTACATCACGTACGCTAGTAAGCTAAATGAACTCAATTTCATTTTGCCACCGTCTGTTCATGATTCGCCTGACATTCCTGCCATTCACAGTGTGCGCGCGATAGGCATTGCGACTGAAAAGCTATTGGAGGGCGTGAATGATCATTCCTTGGCTCGAACAACGTACTCCATGCATTCCGCAGTGGTTACCAACCGTACTAACCCACGATGAGGCAGGTTACAGTCTGTGTGCGAGTGTTTTTTCCTTTTCTTATGCTTTTCTCAGGACCTTCGATCGAAGTTATAGAACAGAGCGGTTTCCATTCTGGACCTGCCAACAGCCCCGCCAGGAATGACAACCAGTCCACTGCTGAAAAACATATACACCGACAAATGATGGCCAATGAAAATCCTTGAAAGTTACGTTTTCCATGCTTGCCGAAATAATAAGAACCTTTACCGCCCGATCCCCGACCATCTGCGGCTTGCAGGCATGTTGCACACACGAGCGGTTCTCATTCCTATTCCTTCCGAGCTGCTAGTGGGACTTGGCCCCAGGTGTATTCTACGAGCTATCCCAATCCCTGATATGGCTGAGGCACTTGCACAAGCCCTTTATTTCCTTTCTTTTTTTCAATATCTTTTTTTTGACTTACCTTGAGTTACTTAAGTGTCTGCTGTGGTTGCATGGAATTTTCACGGTTCCCAAAAAAAATAAAAAATAAAAAATCAAGGACCACTGGAAGTTGAGGCACTTCATATTCGTGTGTGCTTTTGTGTGTTTGTTATCCAGGGATCACTAGAAGTGGGTCGGGATGCAGATATCGTAGTATGGACGCCCAATGAGTCCACAAAAGTTGATGATGAAAAAAAAATCTACCACAAGCATAAGGTGCTGTCATCTCCTGTCCTTCCCACCTCCATCGCCCTTATCCCCTCCTCCTCTCTTTTGCTCTATCCATGACCTAACTGAATCACATTGAGTCCCTGTCCAATCATCCAATTTTGTTCACTCGGTAGCCATTACTGGTAGTTTAATCCAAAACTTTGTCACTTTCTAGTACCGATTGGTGCCACCTTTTGAGGTTTCATGCCCACCAAACCAAGCACCATTTGTTTCTCAATCTCACCCCCAACTCCCCCCCCCCCCCCCCTTCCCCCTCCCCTCCCTTTCTCGTATTCCATCATACATGTCATGTTCTGGTACCCAGCATCAAATTTTGTCACTTTCAGGTACCCATCGGCGCCGCCTTTTGAGGTTTCATGCCCTCCAAACAACCACCATTTGTCTCTCTCAATTTCAACCATCCCCTCTCCTCTCCCATCTTATATCTTATGTTCTTATTACCGTGCACCCCTGTCCTACTGCTTACCCTCCTCCCTCTCTCCCTCCCTCCGTCCCTCCCTCCTCACTCTAACCTTCCATATGAATCACACAATCAAGCACCTTTCTGAATTCCTCTATGTGCGTTTTCTTAATGGCTTTTGGACTTCATGAAGTCAGCCAGCCAGCCATTGGAAAAAAAGGGGAAACAAGATGAGAGAGAGATCGGAAACTGATTCATTATTTGGTCTTCTTAAACCACCCACCAGTACTTCCGTGCCTCTTTTTCCAGATGCCCATTTCTGTCGTGCACCGAGTACCGAGTTTTGTTGAACCAGCGCGGGCACGAAATCGGGGGAATGTCTTTGGCAGAAGTTTGGCTGGCATTGCCTGAAAAGTACCGGTGGTATTTGTTTCTGGAATCCATCCGCACCCTAGATCGGGCCCAAACAAACTTGAAAAACAGGGGGGGGGGGGAAACAACCCGTAGTTCTGGTGAGGCCTAGAGAGTGGAGGCGCGGGTCTGTGATCTGAGACTGGCCCCCTGGAACCCCCATAACGTGTGACTGCGTACTGTACTGTACGAAGGTTCCGCGGTCATATGAGAGCCCCGGGTGGGGAAATAAGTAAACACCACAGAGCCACCCCTTTAGCCACCCCTGCAAAGTGTCTCGTGCGGCAGAGGTAACGGCTGGTCTTTTTCTTCTCCTTCTCCTCAATCTTGAACTTCGCATAATGCTTGCCAGTGATAAGCAATTGGACTGCTGCCCCTCAGAATAGATGGGGCCTTTTGCGTTGAAAAAAAAAGTGCGCACCTTGTAGTTGGGCCAGGTCTCCGGTTCCGAATCCCGCCTGAGCACAACACGTCTTCTGGAATCCGTTGTGTCGAAAACTTACGTTCATGACTACAGTGGATTCCAGAAGACAGATGATTAGCAGGAGGTTCGATCTTTAGCTGTTGGTCCATTGACGATCCAACAGCTACAGTCCTCCTCACACCCCTTCCCCCCCTGCCCACTGCCCCCGATCCACAGGGGTTGGCCCAATTTTTCAGGAGGCAGTAGTTGTTTAAATCACCACTGCTGCGAATGCTATTTTGATCAACCTCAACTTTTCCGCTTCTGAACAAATCGAACTAGCCGCTACGAAGCTGGTACATAAAATGCACAGACTGCCTGCCTGGAGTCATTCACGACAATAGACCTTCCAGCAGAAAGGGTGGTCTTAAAAATCCTGCAGCCTGCTTCGTAGGGGAGTGCTAAGGAATCATGAAAAAATATGCAACGCACATGGAAAAATATTAAGAAGAAGATGATGTGAGCTTTACATATCGTGGCGCCATTACCTTCCTCCCCTCATCTCCTTTATGCATCACACCATCAAGGATCTCAAATTCTCAATCCTTCTACTCATATGCCACTCAGATTGGCGGGGCTTGAGTGCTGTCGACTGAAGTACTGACGTCTGAAGTTCTGACTGCTGGCCTCCCATGTTTGGTGAATCTGCATTGGTCAGGAGGTTCATAGGCCTCCGGGAAAGTACGCACGCCTTTCGAGCAGAGGCGTGCGGATAGGGATCTCTCCACTCTTACTTTCCTATTTAAGTCTTCAAGAGGTCTGGATCATCCTCTCATTCCCTGATGGCTCCTGATGAGGTTGAGTTTGGCGTTAGACCGAAACATGTTGAGCATTCGCCAACTGCATAGCGCCCCAATGCTTAGCGCCGTTGCCGTTATGTTGCCGCTGCCGGGCTGTACGTCAAGTTCTTTAATCTCTGGACAGTTCGCCCGGGATTGAGTGACAATCGATATTGTCCTTCTCCCGGCATCTTCCTGTTTGCCACGCTCGTCCACGCTTCCTCTCCAAATTACCCCATTCCTCTTCTTTGTCTTTGCTTACCACCGCTCCATCCTTGTCTTCTTTCGCTCTTCCCTCTTCATTCTTCTGTCCTTCCCTTCCTCATCTTCTTCCGATTTCTCTCCCCCCAACTTCTGTCTCTCCTTTCCCTTTCTCTCCTCTCTTCTCCTCTCCTCTCCTCTCCTCTCCTCTCCTTCCTTCCTGCTGTGCCTCTTTTTGCGTCGCTTATGCTCACTTGCAATCAGACTCGTTCTCGTTCACACTTTTCATGCATGTAAACAGCAGCACAGTAGACTGGCGACATGCGCCCAAACAAAACTCAGAGATATGGCTTMCAGRCACGAGTTCACTTTCAATTGGCTATGGCGACTCAGCGCCCAACAACTCACTGTTCACACACACTGGATCACCCTGGATATCCCACACACGTCACTCTGAACACTCACACGCACACACACACTCTTCCCACTAACTACAGCTATGGCAGCTATGGCTGCCTCTACCCTATCGCTATGCTAACTCCTCCTCTCTCGCCCACTGCATCCTCCAGGCTCACTGCAGACCTCCTTGCACAAGTCGCTGTGGCAGCGCTTCCGCATGGCTCACGCAGGAATGAATGCATGGCTGGGTGCTGCCTCTTGATTTATACTTCAGAAACTCGTTGGTCTGCCCTTTGCCATCGTCCCATGGTGCTCACAGTCCCCCGTGGTACTTGCTGGACCGAACTGGGACTGACTGGACCTTACCGCTGACTGACTGTGGACTCACTGCTATCCTACCGAGGGCGTACTGCGATTGCACTGCAGTTTAGTCCACCACTTGCCTCGCCACATGACCACTTGCCCACTTGCCCACTTGCCTACCTTCTAGAAGGACTACAGCTAGACTTCTGGAACTTGCTAAGGCTCCTATTCTATAGACCTACAGATCGAACCCCTGCTGCCTATGGACCTATGACAGACCTACCAACTGTCTACGAACACACAGGTCACAGGTTCAACTCTCGGGGTCTACACAGATACTGTACATGGGCAGGGTGAGGTCTAGGGATCGAGCCCTGGGTACTGCATCTGCTACTGCTAAAAGGTGAAAACCATTTCACACTGATCCTGTTTTTTTTTTTTTTTTTTTTTTTTYTTTTTTTTTGGCCCCATGTGCAAAACCTCCATCCTGGTGGTGGTAGGAGAACCACCAAGATTGAGGCTTTGCCTGGCGGGCCGCTCCATCTATTGGTGGGGAGCATCACCTGCTGGAAACCGGGTCCAGCGTCCCATGATACATCTTAAATGGCTCAATGAAAAAAGTGACGCCCTTGTGCTGGAAACCGGGTCCAGCGTCCCATATCAGAATCCTCTCTTCCTTGCCTATCCTGCAGCTGGGTCGGGGATTGGAGAGGGGCACTGGTGGACACTGATCCCGTTGCTCTTTGCCTGATTGATATGTTGGAAATCCATCATGTTTTTCAGAACAGAATGATCTTGTCTGTGCTCTCTCTCATTTTGAACTTGCTCCAGCGTTCTATCGTCTGGCTACGACTGTTCCATACCTAGTCTCTTGTGCTCTGGGGCTTTCCAGTATAAGTGGCTAGATGTAGGAGAGAAGATTATGAAAGAATGAATGTTTTGATAAAGAACTCGTCGTCGGAATTTGTGGTTTCTCGCAACCTCGCCTATGTGTGTTATCTGCTTGCGAGTTGTGATGCGACCGAGCTAACGCTAACACTTCGTGTTAACCGCTGTCAGTCTCGGAGGGAAGGTCCACCCGGTGGTGGTTCGAACCACCGGTACCCACGGCAAGCTTTCAGTGAAAATTGCTAGTTGGGGCAATGTACGTCAGCTTTTCGATCTGACTGTGGAGCTTTGTGCCTCCTCTAAAACCGGGGCACCCAGCTGGGGGCAGTTGAAACAACATGCTTCTGTCCTTCGGGACATCTGCTAAGCCACCAGTACATCCGAGGCTAGCAGCTTCCCTCTGCGTGCCAAACACCCAAGCGGCATTTTTGTTTCAATTTGGCTGGCGCAGCCAGCCATTTTGATCCGGTTGTCACGAGCCTCCGAACGTTTTGGAGAGGCTCTCTCGTTTTCTCAAGTTGCCTGGGGCCGTACTGGTGGTCTAAAATTGCAACGATACCAAGAAGATTGGCATGCCCCCTGTACAAGGTTGACGTGCAGAAATCCAGAAATGGAAACAGTATGCTATTATTTTGACAATTCTAATCACCATGCCTGTGGATATCTCCAGTCCATTCCTTTGTTTTTACTTTTTTTTTCGTAACCCCCCTCAGAAGGCCCCCTTCCACCCTTCCTGGCACACCGCCACCCCCTCTGTCCTACCTTAGAGAGGAATCCCACAGGAAGTCGGCAAACGGATTCGGAAGGTGTGGACTTCCAGGCAACTGCCCATCACCGAGGGGATGACGAAACAGAGGTGACCCCTCCGCCGCCGTGAAATGTTGCTTTCGCGACGCCCACGGTCACCCAAAAAGGAAAGTCCAGGGCGGTTTTCCTTTTTGGGAAAAGTCGGGGCCTGGAAGGCCATTCCTGGTCCCTTACCGGTGGTTTGATGGAAGGGCGGCTGTAGATACTGGGGGACCATGCGACTTTTCCCATGCGGCAGAGACGGGTATGCGGGCGGCACACCCTCCCCGGTCCTGGGTTCCAGGCTGTTCCCAGCCTGTGTTACAGTGCAGACGGTCGGTGCTTCCGAAAACGG